TGAAATCTGAATATAGTTTACGGACATCAACTTATACCTAGTGTATTCCTAGAGCAGTAGGTACGAACTCTTGTGCAGCCGTTTCAGAGTTTATTTGCAAAATTTGTTAATTTATAAGTATAGATTTTGTGGTATCCCAATGAATTGTATAAAGAATTGAATTAAAGCATTTTGAACACAACACGGACTGTTTATTTCTCCAAGAAACATGAGCACTTTACGACAAAAAAAAAATAAATAAAAGAAAAGACACCCGGGTATTGCAATCTGAACATTATTTTATTTATCAATGTCTAAACACAGGCACTTGAGGCTGGAAATTTTTAAATCTGGGGCCGACACACCTTTTTCCTATTTTGGTAGTCTAATATGCACTACTTTGTATCGATAATGTAACTCTTTTGTCTCTATAAGCCGTTTTTAAATATAAATTATTCGACTGATACATATAAAAAGAGTAAGGCTTGCAACTTTTCTTGCCATCCGCCTCACCTCGCACAAACTTTAGCTGCAGAACTGAGCTCTCCATAAAAATAATTAGGCAAACCGGAGAGCTACAGTGCCACCCATTTTCTATCACTCAAATACATAATCAGCCTTATCGGCGGCCGATCTATTTGTGGTTGTGTTTGAAAGTGCATGGGGAAATGAGTTCAGTAATCTTAAATGACAAACGTATAAGAGCATGAGTAAAATGTTTTAAAAAATTGCTTTAAACTAAGTATTAATTGTTGTTATGATGTTTAAAATTCATTTGTACTACTTCTCAACAGATAATTTATGATTTTTGGTTAAACAAAAAGAGTTTACAATAGGTACTCCTCAGCTTGCAAGCTCCAGACAGCTCAGCATTTATACGTTACGCTACAACTCCATATCATCGCTGTCACAGACTTTGAAAGTTGATGCTGAGATAAAACTTCTACTTAAACAACATATGCAGGGAAAACTAAAGGTATTATATAGACGAAACTGAAATATACTGCATTATGATATAATATACTTTTGCTTTTTTTTTTAAAGATAAGAATATTGCTAAATGCAGCCTACTCTACAGACACCGGACATTATGGAGAGAACTAATATAGGCCGTTGGCCTGCTGTTCAATCCATGTTCATTGTATACTTCTTTGTGTATATATTATGAATAAAATATACTTCTTAAACGTATACTAGAAACTGGACATTATCACGTGCCAAAGATCTGGGGTATTCATCTTGAGAGGTCTTCATCTTCATTTTGATGGCAATAAATTCTTATCATTTATCATTGGCTTTAGTATATCGATGAATCCATTTGATGAGCAGATGCACCAGAATTTCTATTTAATTTTTTTAAGTTATTTTTTTGTCTGAAAAAAAAAACAAAACATGACCACCATTTCAGCTTTGAATGTCTTGTGCTTTCCTTGCATAGTTGCTTTTATGAAATGCTAGATTTTGTTTGCGACCGATTTGATGCTTTGCATCAATTTTACTTGTATGTTCGTCTGCTACAGAAAGAAAGAAATTACGTCACGTAGGCCTACGGTCAATGTGGCGTTTGTAATAAGAAAACTGGTATTCATAAGAAACATAAAAAATGGAAATGTATATGGAACGCCGGGACTGTCTTATATGAGGATTAAACAGTATATGCAGTGCTTCCTTCATTATACGCGGTACTATTTTAATTATATGAAGTATAGTTTCTACATTATATCGTGTACAACTTCCATGATATGCAGTACTTCTCTCATATGTACATCTATCATAATATAAAGTGCTTTTAACATTATATGCGGTAGTTCTTACTATATGTAGTAAACACAACAATATATTTTATACTTCTCACAGTATATATAGTATATTCATCATTATGTGTAGTATTTCTGTTATTATGATGATGCTGATCGTTAAATATCATGTCCAGTCCAGTATTCCGTGCGGTACATTTTGCATTTCGTTATGATGTAGACACAGTATTATATGCGGTGCTTTCTTCTTTATGATGATGATCTTTTGGAAGCTACCTTTCTGAACCCCCTTGTTATATTTAGAAAGTTTTACTTTTTTCGTTCTTAGATATGAACATTCTTCATGATTTTGGGTTATCAATAATAATTGGGAATCAACCACACGTAAGCGGAATAATCATGCATGTACCACACAATAGTTATCCCTATATCATTATTTATTTTTGAGGCTACTTTTTTCTTGATTTAGCATATAAATTTAATATCCTTGCAAATTCCAAGGGGGGGGGAGGGGTGTTCTGACCCCCCATCCCCTCTAGATCCGCGCATGTTTAGTTGTTTATAAAGAGGGCATACACAAAGAAAAAAAATGATGTTCATCTTCAACAACGGAACATAATCTGCCAACCTCTGTCTTTAATTTGTGGGCACTTATTCTCAATCGAGTCAAAAAAGAACAAAGATTCTTGGAATTGGAAAAATTTAAGTATGGTTGAATTTCAAGCTTGTTTAGATTTCGTTGACTTATCAACTGGATTTATCCCTACATTAATTAAAAAGGAATTTCGAAGTCATGTCGATACTTCAGTAGTTTACAACGAGGGAGAGAGATCGAGATCATATCAACACTTCAGTAGTTTACAAAGAGAGAGAGAGATGCACTTATTTATTAAAATATTTTTATCATTCCATTGTATTAATTGTTATACTATGGTGTATAAAAAATGACTGATATTCACTGTCTTTAGCTAAACTATATAAATGATATGTATCAGGAAAAGACATAAGATTTTGAGAGCAGACATTACACGCACGTAGCAACACCCTCCCCCTTTTCTCAAACATAACTTTTACTATTGAAAATGATCAATGTTTTTTTTTTGGCTTGTCCACTTTCTTCAGGCAAGTTATCTTTTTCTCCGGCTGACCCCCCCCCCCCCACTTTCAAAAACAATGCTACGTCACCTTATTGAGTCATGTTTAATCCTCATGTACGACAGTCCCGGCGTTCCATAAATGTACCTGAATCACTGGCTCTGAGTTAATGCCTGATCTTAGAACATGAGGATCAGATTACCCTAAATCATCTTCACTAGCCTAGGTTTTCTGTTCCACTATTCTTCTAAAAAATCTTGGCTTATCGTTCTACCAAAAGTCGGAATGTCACGTGATCTGTCAGACGTTTCAAAATGTACCACAATTGCACAGATTATGTCATTGACAGAATTAAATAATATGTCTAGAAATAAAATAGTTTTCACAACATGGCATAATTTTCAATGACGCGCTGGAGCGCATTATGATATACTGTATGACATTTGTGTGCAATTGTCAATCATAACGCCACTTTATGTTTACTGAAAATCTTTGTTAATTTCTAAACGGAACACAATGGTGGGGCGTGACATATTGTTGGAATGTATAAGAATACATGAAAAATCTTATAGGGAAGCAATATATTTTTTTGACAAAATGTATTATATTTAACTGTATACAGGAAGCTTTGGTGCTGGTTTGTGTCGAACTAACTGGAATTATAAATATATGAGTTTAAAAATATTTATAAGCTTAATTCTTTTTATAGTATTTTAATAAAAAAGCGAAATATTGATAAAAACGTGACTTTATAATAAAATATTTAACTCACTAATCGAAAAATAAGTACAAAAATTTTTGAATTCAAAAATTCTTTTTCTGCAAGGATTCTGAGTTTATTGCGACTTTGATGAATCATCAAGTTTTTACCCATGTAATAGATCAATTATTGCACTTAATAATACAAATAATTAAAGAAAAACTTCTTTAATCTTACTCGACAAAATAAAACTGGCTTCAGTACATATTTTTTTTCAAAATTGTCCTTTGTACATGTTTTTTGCTTTTCATTAAGGTTCATTGAAACTCTGATAAGAGAGATAACTCTTAATGACATAAATGTCTATCATTCCTTTATAAATCCTCTTGATAAAACAAACATAAAATATGGAAGCAAACTACAAGATGATGGTAATTAAAACGCAGGTACATACACACAAAGAAACAAAAACAACAACAACAAAATTAACAAGGGTCCCATGGATTACAACGTTCACCTGAGTTACTCAATTCAAACGGTTAATTTAGAAAAATCTTCAAAGATGTTTATGTTCCCAGGAGTGTCACCCCATTGAAAAAAGCTGTCTTAAATCTGGGGGGTACTGAATCTCCACCATAGGAAAAATTTCAATATCAATGTGAGTAAAATCGCTAAAATAGCCGTGTAATTAAGAAAACGACAAATATTCTCCTGTGCGTTCATACATTATATGCATAAACTGGATTTTAGACAACTTTTAAGTACAGCTATTTATAAGAACCAGGCAGAAATGAAAATAAGTGATTCATGATAGTGATAGATTTTTAAAAAACTATCATATTTACATTAAGATGCATAAAACTAAATACTTGATCACAGTTAGAAATGGATTTCATGCATAGTTGATTAAAAAATGAATTCAATATATACTGAAACAGTCAACAGTATCCATTGAAAGGTGTCTGTACGTGCAGGTGATTTTTTAAGAAGGCCCGCACTCTCCTTGAATGTGAATTATAAAATATTGAACATCTAGTATCAAAGAGTAAAAAACAATTAAAAAACCCATGGGTTATTTTAATTACGAATAGAAATTGTGATTTTAAATTATGTAAAAACATGAAATTCTAGTTATCTCCCTTGGCACTCTCTAGTAAAAGGAGTTGGAAAGAGTGTATTTAACTCTTCAATTTAGAAGGTGGGGATTAAGAAATGTGTGTGATTTCATCTTCATTTTGGATATGTTTTGACAGTTTTCATACATCCAAGGGGCATGTAAGTCTAAAATATTATTAGAAAAATATAAGCCTAGGATAAAAATAATAACTGCCTGCAATTTGCTTAATTTTATTTGACAAAAACAAAATTTTATTTCCTAAACATGCTAAATAAAAACAGAGTTTGAGTGTTTTGAAAAAACTAACATGTTTAACAATAACATCAAAACTACTTAAATTCAGTTAATTTTGGGAAAATATTTAATTTTGTACTGGAATTTGAACACTAGCTCGCTGCTGGGGATTACAGTATGATCAGTATCTCTCCTTTCCGTCGATACTCCCTTATTACTGCAATATACCCCAGTCGACCGGAAGAAGTCCTCGACCTCAGCATACATGAAGTCATAGCAAGAAGCAGTGAAAGTCATAGCAGAGATTGGATGGAGCATAATTTTTTTCTATGTCTCGGCGCCTCTATGGATGTCATATTTAGATCAGGTATTTATTATTTAATACATAACACAGACTTATATCTAAACAAAGACACTATTGGCTATTTTTGTTTCCGCTTTCAGGTTAAAAAAATATAGGGTAGGTAGGTAGGTATGCAAATTTCTTTTAAAATTTTTTTTTTTTTACTTCTTTAATCAAAACGTGTATAGAAGTACATGTAACGTTAATGACAAAAGAAATGGTGTTTTCAAGCATTTCTGTGACTTAAACTTATAATAGAAAGGTGACTCAAACTTCTTCCTGTCTTGAAAAGCTTGCAAAATTGGAGACTATGATTCCCTGGGTGAAATATTGCACTTCATGGGACAAAAGCATTTAAAAAAATTTTAGGGTCGGAACAATAAATTAGGGTCGGTCGGGAAAGCGGAAACAAACATTTAAGCCCGACTGTTAGTAAAAAGTATCTGTCCTGCTAAAAATCTACCAGCCTGAGGAAATAATTGTCTTTTGTAAAATTGATTTTTGAAACTAGAGGTACTGATAGCAATGAGCTCACTGAATGATACCCCCCTGCCTCCGATATGAATATAATAGTGTCCATGTTTTGCTGTAGGAAAGTATTATATTAATAATGCCATACTTTCGTATAATACCACTATTTTTTTTGCCTAATTTTACTCTTAAACACACGAAATCTCAGGAGCTTCTGGGGCTTTGCCCCCTGGACCCCCTTCATTCAAACTATGGTATGACTAACATACGACTGTACTTTGGAGTATCACTATCAAGACCCCTTGCCTGAACAAAGTTATCCACCCCCCCCCCTTTTAATCACAAATCCTGTACTGCTCATGATACCATTAGTTGATCTGGAAGCGATAAATCACATTAATAAATTTTAATTAATGAAAACTTTAAACAAGTCCAGCGTGGCATCAATTTGTGCAAATTGGTAAGACCACAGCAAAATTTGTGCGTATCGGGCGGTCAGGCGCACTGTTATTTCAAACACTGTTTTCGGAATGGCCAATGGGTCCTTCTTAAAATCGTGAATATTTAATTAAGCCCATAAAAAAAATCAGATGTTATGGCAAAACCATAATTACTATTTTCTTATTCATGTAATCAAAATGTAAAATTGTGCCCTTTGAAACTCTATATTTTCAAACTTATATGTGTACATGTATGATATTCTATAATTGCATTTACTTTTATTTGAATTATAGATAAGGGTGAGGAGTCCTACAAAATTTAATTGACAAGCAAAACAACTAATAAAATACTATTATGGTTTTATCAGTTGAAACGGGGGATGGGGTGTAAACCTCCCAAAAGAATCTTTAAAAAAAGCCATAAAACCCTATCCGGGGGGGGGGGGGGGCTCCCAAATATTCCTACAAGCAAATATATACACACATAGAAAAGAGAGAGATTTATAAATATGAGAGCACATAAAATATGCATGGGTTTCTGCCAATGTTTTCGTCTAATTTAGAATTAAAACTAATAGTATAAATTCATAATGATTTAACTAGTACATGGGGGAAGTAAATAAATATTTAATTATCAATAATTCAAAAGCTAAATGGTTAAATAAATGTATGCATTCTCTTGTCATATGATGAATTTCATGATTTGTTATCATTTCAGATGCAATCTGAGCCTTGTTCTGAATTTCAAAATCCCCTTGGACAACACCTGCACAGCTGAGATAATGTAAAAATTGAGGACCACTGTCACCAAGAAAAGATAATCAATTCAACTAACGTTAGTGTTATATATACTTTATATTATTTATGTATCATTAGATAATTTGGTATTTTGTGTTGACAACTTCCGTTTTTTTTTTTTAATTATCATTACGAACATTCCTTTTTGTTTAGCAATCAAGGACCTTCTGACTAAGGGCTGAATTATAGTGAACACTGCCATTCAGAGACTTTGAAACAGGTATTTCTTTTGATCTTGATTCTCTGAATTTTTTTTAGCTCACCTGAGTTGAAGGCTCAAGTGATCTTTTCTGATCAAAGTTTGTCTTTTGTCTGTCATCGTCATTCTTCAAAGGGAGAGAATTGCAAAATTTAATAGCATTACTGATATCTTCTCAAGAACCAATGGCCCAGGAAATATGAAACTTATGTGGAACCATTGTCGGGTAGTGTAGATTCAAATTTTTCAAATCATGAACCCCAGGTGTAGGACGGGGACATTAGGATGATCAAAGTTTAACATAGGAATACATAAAAGAAATATTTTAAAATCTTCTTCTCGGATACACCAAGCCTTGATTGGTACTATTTATATGGAAGCATTTTCAGGTGTTGTAGATTCAAGTTTGATCAAATCATGACCCCAGGGATAGGGTGGGACCACAAAGGCCAATCAAATTTTTTACATAAGAATATAGAGAAAAAATCCTTTAAAATATTCTTCTAAAGAACAGAAAAGCCAGTAAGTTATATATACGCATCATGGACACGGAAGCATTTTCTCGTAGTGTGGATTTGTTCAAATTATGACCAACCCCCCCCCCCTCCAGGTATAGGTCGGGGCCACAAAAAAAGTTCCAACTTGTAGAGAAATTAAAACTCACAGTTAGCCAAAAATAAATACCCCGTAAGCATCCTTAGTGTAGATTCAGTTATGTTCAATCAATCCCTCCCTCCCCCTCTCTCTCTCTCCCTTAGAGGGAGATGTCATATGCATTTAAGCATTTCAAAACAAAGCTGATTTTTAATCTTTATCCAAGCCAGGTGAGTGATGTGGCCCTGGGTATCTTGTTAAATCATTTATCTACACATATATGTACAACTCGGTTATAACAAACTAGGAACTGTAAAAGTATTCGCTATATATATCAATAATTCATTATATCCATATTTGTAATTTGTGAAATTTATATAGTTGGGGATCCGAGAAGACTTCACTATATCTGTGAATTCACAATGTCCACGTCTTTGTACTAAACAAGTTGTACTGCAGTTACATGTATGTGGAAGCCAAATAGGAGTAAAAGATGTATCATTGTAAATGTAACACAGTGTGATCTTCATTATTTTGTTCAATCTATTCAGTGGTTTCTTTGAATATTGGAAACTAAAATCAGTAGAAAGTTAAAAATCAAAATTTGTAAAATTCAGCATATCTAAACAGAATTTTTGTCGTTGAAAAAGACCCTTTTCAGATGAGCAAGGCTGTAATAATCATACTAATATTCTGAATCAAATAACAGCTAACTATTTGAGGCAAGGATGGGGTGAGGTTAAAGAAGGGGTTACATCACTTGAAAATTTAGAGAAGAATTGTAGAGCTGAGGTTTTTCTCAAGAACAATAGGGCCAAATTGTACCAAACTTGGCAGGGCTAAGACACCATACAAGGGGTGATAATCAAGAAAAGAGAAAAATAGAGAGCCACTGGGTCAGAAAAGCTGAAACTTATGTTAAAGCATCCAGGGATTAAGTGTAGATTCTAAATTGTTTAAATTATGTCCCCCTCCCCCTAAGAATATAGGCCTTAACCACAATAGGTATTACAAGTAGGAAAATCTGGTGTAGAACAGAATGACCAGTTACTCTGGTGAGTGTTATGGACCATGGTCTTCTTGTATTCATGATCATGTTCATAGAGAAAACGAACCTTAGCTTCTCTCTTCCTTCAACAGCAACAAGAAAAAATTGATTAATGGAATGCCTATTTTCATTAACAGATTTCAAATTTTGAATTATATTTTTTCCAGATTGATGAATCAACCACATGCACTATGTCAGAGGAATCTAGCTGGAGCACCTATTTAGCAGCCAGGACACATAGATGTACCTGTACTGTTGATACAGAAAATCTCAACGGCACATTTCTAAATGATGGCTAAAAAACTCTAATAAAGACACTTTCAGTTTAAAACTTTTTGAAAGAAATCCAGACCAGAAACAAAGGATATTGATTTTTAAGCTCCTCCAAATGTAAAAGGGGTTTTATTGAAACCAAGACCAGGATATACCCAAGGATATTTAATATTACACCCCTTCAACATAAAATTTTGAATTTTAGTTTCCCTATCTAGTCAAGAACATGGATTTTTTGACATTTGATACACTTTATAATGTTATATTTACATTTTTTCGAGATTTCTTTACTGTAAACTATATATTTCAGCAAAAAGTACATTTACAGATGATTATTCAAAAAATTGCTTTAAAAATACAATTGAAATATTTAGATCATGTCTCATAAATGCTTAATCACAGTTACCACAGAAACAAAATATTTGTTTAAAAAAAGTTAGGTACAAAAAAATGTTGTCTTTCAATATTTTAGCTAATGGCCACGCATACAGTTTTCTTCATATAAGCTAATCACATTGGCCAAATTGTATAGGCAAATACAATATTTTTGGAGATATTGTCATGGTAACCAGATACAAATCACAAAAGCATATTAAAAAAAATATATTTTCATGCATTTACAATAAACTGTGAAAATAATACATGTATGTTTGTCAATAATTATTTTGTACTGTATGGAGATTTTGTAAAGACAATTAAATGTATTTAAAAAGGCATTGCCAGAATAATTTGTTACCATGGTTTCAAATACATGTATTTATGAGAAATCCACTGGTTTTATCTAATATTTGTAAGGTTTAGGAGAACATTTTCTATCTTATATTATGATTTTTTTGTGCTTGTGGTATTTTTTCCACAACATACTCTGAAAATGATGTATTTTGGCATTTTCTTGAAAAATGGATTTTTGTGATATTCTGTTGCCATGGTTACAGAATATTTTTGAAAAACCTGATAATGGTTTTGTTTTGTTATATTAGAATTAATAATGTGGTCTTTCTATCCCATGCTTTAAGTTTTTCTTTAACATGTGGGTTTTTTCTAACTATGCTCTTAAAAATGGTTATCATTGTGAAAAATGAATTTTTGTGACATTTTGTTGCCATGGCAACAGAATATTACTTAAAAACCCATGGGTTTTATTTAATTTTATTGAAATTAAGAAAGTTCTCTTTCTATTCCACATTATCAGATTTCTTTAACATGTGGCATTTTTTCTTACTATGCTCCTAAAAACGGTTATTTTTGTGAAAAATTGAAAAATGAATTTTTGTGACATTTCGTTGCCATGGTAACAGAATATTACTTAAAAACCCATGGGTTTTATTTAATTTTATTGAAATTAAGACAGTCCTCTTTCTATTCCACATTATCAGATTTCTTTAACATGTGGCATGTTTTCTTACTATGCTCTTAAAAATGGTTATTTTTGTGAAAAATGAATTTTTGTGACATTTTGTTGCCATGGTTACAGAATATTATTTAAAAACCCATGGGTTTTATTTAATTTTATTAAAATTAAGAAAGTTCTCTTTCTATTCCACATAATCAGATTTCTTTAACATGTGGGATTTTTTCTTACAATGCTCCTAAAAATTGTTATTATTGTGAAAAATAAATTTTTGTGAAATTTCGTTGCCATGGTAACAGAATATTTTTAAAAAACCCATGTGTTTTATTTAATTTTATTAAAATTAAGAATGTGCTCTTTCTATCCCATGTTATCAGATTTCTTTATCATGCGGGCCTTTTTCTTAATATTCTTCTAAAATATGATGGATTTGAAGAAATATTGTGAAAAGTGAATTTTATGAAATGACCTATGTTAAATTGAAATTCAGCACCTTTAATAAATCCTATATTATTTTATCCTTATGGTAATCATTTATCATTTTGTATGTACTTCTCAGGAAAAAAAAATTTATTTATGGTACTATTATCAAAAAAGCTCTGTTCCTGTGTTCAATAATAGCTAAATTCACATTTTTTTCAATCTTTTGCTTGGTTGCCATGTGCATTTACATGGTGCATTGTTTCCATGGCAACAAAGGCTGGCCAAAAAAATTATGTTGTCCAATGATGTTCCTTTGGTCCATGAAGCAACATATTAAAATTTTGTAAAAATCTGAAGTGGTCATGAATCACCCCCTGCCTGGTTCTTACAAACAGCTGTACTTAATTGGGATCGGCAAATTTAATTTAATGTTCTATCGTGGTTCTTTGAAAGATTTCCTTACATTTCTTATATTGTTCCTTGCAAAACTTTTATTTCATTTGCCCCATCTGGAACCATACATGTACTTCGAATAGTAAAGATTTACCTCAATAAGCTTTCATATAATGCCCATCTTGTCCAGTGATTCTTGAGCAAGAGATTTCTAAATTATTTTTAAAAAATATTTCAACACAAAAATTATTCTTTGTATAATTTGAAAAAATAAATGAAAATGAAAATCCCATTTCTGTCTTTTCTTGATTATCCCATTGAAAGGGGCCTTGGTTCGTTACTTGAACAATTTAGAATGCGAAATATTCGTGAAACCTCTACCACGGCCAGACAGACGGAGTCGAACAACTGGTGATCAAAAACGCTATCAGCTTTCAACTCAGGTAAGATAAAAGGGTGTTAATGTTTTTATGTAAGATAAATCAAGTCTTGTCTTTTTACTCTACTTTCACTTTTTAATACGTAGGTACACTGTTCTGGGCTCTGGAGAAGGAGGTAGTTCAGGGATCTCACGTTCTCTCTCAGTTTCTCTTTCATTTTCTCTTTCAGTTTCTCTTTCTTTTTCTTTTTCACTTTCTAATTGCAATTGATACGTAAATAATGGCAACGTCATTGGTACATGTAAGTTGGGTGCTCTGGGATCCTGACCCTCTTCTGGAACAGTGTAAGGTTCAGCAGGTCTTCCATTGTAGTAGAAGTTGTAGGTTTGATGTACTGGATTCTGTTTATCCTCAGGAGCCTCGTTCTGATTACGACGAGAGCATGCCTAAGAATAGATGCATGTTTGAAGATCGTTATGAGTAAGGATTTATTTGCAACTATATTATTTTGTAATTGTGAAAAAATACAATATTTAAGAAACATCTATTTCAATCTGTTTTTACTTACAAAATATCCTTGCTAAGAGATCAATTCTCTCAAATGTATTCTTGAACGTGTAAATCAAAAATTGTAACTTATGAATAATATTATTCCAAATGTCTTAACATCAGTGTCAGGCTCCATAATAAAACGATCCAAATTTACTAGTATTTAAACATTAGCCATAAATTAAACTTCTCAGCAATCAATAAAATAAAAAAAAACAAAATTTACGTAGATTATTTAGTAGTACATGTATCATGAATTTTGAATGAATGATTGGTTCGTTCTATAGTTATTTATACATCTATAAACCATACCTCTGACCGCCTCCTTTTCTCTGAAAATACCCGTTTCAATTGTCGGTTATCATTTTCAGTGTGTTCAAATTGCTTTATGGAAAAGCAGCATCCCATGATGTTGATTTTCTAGCCCAAAACTACAGTCAAGCAATTAAAGAATGGATAAAATATTAGTTTTGTCTATTGCTGAAAAAAAAAATTACATCACTCATTTCACTGAGGTTTTAAATTTTATTGAGTGAATCAAAGTTTGATAAATACTCTAGATTTCTTATTTTTCGTGAGTACTTATTATCGCGAAAAGCCTTTTCAACGTCAAATGGCGAGAATAATAATCCGCGAATGGTTGGTTTATCAAGAGATTTAACATCGTTTATAGCACTATAAAAATAAAAGCGAGTAATTTTATTTCGCGAGTAGTGCTTCTCGCGGAATTACGCGATAATTAATTCCACGCGTATATTTAGGAATTTGCAGATTCTTCAATTCATTTAAATTATAAAATGTCAAATATATTTGTTTTATATACGTAAATATCTTATTACAGTATTCAAGATACGTTTTATTAAGATGGATTTACCTGTTTTTGAATCACACTGTGCTTTTGCCACAAAAATGAGATGAACTAGACATTCTTTTGTGTTGGATGAGGCTAAACATAAGCTTTTTTTGGCATCTAAATACAAACTGGTAATTCTTCCTGATAAAGTCTCCCTTTTATATACTTTTACATTGGCAATGATTGCATGGTAAATTCTAAATTGATAATTAAGGAAATTATTCAAAAATAACTAAAGGAAAATAGAGAGGAGGAATTATGTTAAAAGAATTCAAGACGATATGAAAATTTTAGTTTGTAAAAGGAGAAGATTTTGGTAACGAATAATGATTGATCTAAAAGAAAACTATAAATATTATAAATAAGTAGAGGTCATACATATGAGACCTTCCTTCGGATGAGGCCATTCAAACCGAGGTCCTGTGTCGCAGTAGGCGTTGACACAAAAAGATCTCTCATTGCTCCATGGCCTTGAGTGCCGAGTATAGGTTTAAAATTGATAGCCCTCCAAGTTTCATTCATTCTTTTCATTCATTCTTTCTTTATTTGCTCAATTTTGAGATTCATGAGCATTCAACAATACATATTGAAAAGACAAAAGGTAACTTCACATAAGTGCTTATTATTTACATGCGTGCAAAATTATATTTTAAAATGAGCTTAAGCTCGGAGAAATTAACTTGTACGTTTTCGACAGAGTTAATGCACAGGGATTAGAAATGTCTGGTCCATTTAAGAGAACGTCGTTGTCTTTCTGTGATACGCCGCTGCCACATCTCTTATACATAACGAAAGTTGAAGATATGGAGTTCTGTTGCGTCACAGTCCGAGAGTGTTAGACATCTGGCACCGAGCAGAAACAAGTACATGTATAACTCATTTCCAGAGAGTCCTGAAAGATCGGCGCCTAGCGTAGTGCCGTAGTATTCGAGGGACGTTCAATAAATAATGTCATCAGCTCGATGACATACAAGATAGAAATCATATGCCATTAAGCTTGACTTTCTCTAATTATTGAATCTTCATTTTAATTAGTTGATAACAGTTTATGTGACCACTTTTCATCACATAGTTCCATTAAATCATAGGATCTGCCATATTCCAGTATACGAAGGGTCATACTCAAAAATGTGTTCCAAAAACAATTAGAAATTGAATAAAAATGTTACGGACATGTGTTTTACTTAATAGAGAATATTTTAGTTTAATTATTAAGACTAAATCTTAGAAAAGCGTTTTTTGTTTCTTTCCGAGCACCGATGACATTATTTATTGAAAGTCCCTCGTAGGTTTAAAATTGGCAGTTCTCCACCGGCACGTTATGACGTCTCCATATGAGTGAAAAATTCTCGAGATGTACGTTAAATAATAATCAATCAAACAAATAAACGATCACTATGAAACTACGATCAACTAGCTTTCTGATAAGTTGATGTGACAGGAAATTAATTCTATATAGTAAGCATTTTGTAAAGTCTATGATCGTTATTATAACTTTGATGACAAATATCGTGTGGATGTATTTTGGCTGAGGTATTTCATATATTTTATAAGTGCTATGTTTTATACTATACTTTACAATGGATCTGTTTTCCTGATCAATATATAGGGCTCAAGGCGGGTTTTGACCGATCAAGAGGGGATGATTACTGGCCCAAGCTTAAGGCACCTGATCCCACTTACGTGGAGACACGTCAATACTGCAGCTGGTAGTGGAAACTTAAGTCTTTTCACTAAATATAGAAGATATTTTTCTCATATTCAAAATTATTTTATTGGATTTTCAAAGTTCGTTTATATTTAGAGTAGTCCTTTGACAAAATATAGAAGAAAATTTTCTCATACTCAAAAATAATTAAAGCGAATCTTTAAATTTGTGGATTAATTTTACTTTTTTAGATTCTCGTCACGATCCAACACTAACAATACAAACTGAAATTCTGATATCCTCTTGGCTTAATTTTAAACATTACTGCATTCTCTCTCCTTTCCAAGTTATTTTTGAATAATTTCCTTACTTTGTTGGATATTCTGAATTTATCACGTGCACGCATTCATTGCACCATATAAAAAGGGAGACTTGATCAGGAAGAATCGCAAGTTAATCTGTATTTACATGCGAAAAATCTTATAGCCTATTACAAAGCAACAAAATGTTTAGCTTGTTTAATGTTTGTGGCAAAAGAACGTCGTTGTGATTTAAGAACAGGTAAATCTCTCTTAATAAATACAAAACATTTCAAGGGAAATGAAATATAAAAATAAATTTATGACTAACTCTTTGGTTTACAAAAATAAAATGTAAAAAGTTGATGATGTAAATCTTTTTTTCAGCTATAGAACAAACATTGACGTTGAAATATTTTATTCATTCTTAAGCTCCTCAACGAAGGCGTTTTTTGTTTAAATAATCATCATGGGATGCTGCATATCCGTAAAGCAATTCGAGCACACTGAAAATAATGATCGACAATTGAAACAGGAATTTCCAAAGAAAAGGAGGCGGTCAGAGGTATTATTCAGATGTACATGTAACTTTATTTCAATGTAGAACATTTTGTAGGGAGAAGAATTGTATTTAATCAAAGTTCTTCCCCTTTATGGGAAATATTTTAGTCAAAGAGGACTCCTTGTAATCAAAGTTATGTTGATAACGATTATAAAACATGTTTATGATGTCATGATAAGTCAGAAAGTTAGCAAGAATTCTTGAAACGAACTTTTTAATCTTTCAAAATTCATGATACTAATGACTTTCTGCTTCAAAATATTGGTGTTTTGTGTTTGCGTACTAGATTGATTATTATTGTTTAACGTCGAGTCGGCAATATTTCAGAGAATTGTTTGCTTAGAAGTTTAATGATTAATGTTTAACTAATTTTGAAATGTTTATTATTAGGCGGGCCCGGCCTTGATATTTCTGAAAGATAAACAAAAGTGTAATACTAGTATATTCATAATTACGATTTGTAATTTGCACATTTACACTAAAAAAATCATTTGAAAGAAGCCACAGTATACACAATGTTACTGTTCTAGCAGAATATAAGAATAAATGTTTCTTTAAGATTTTATTGCAATTAAAGTATAAAATTGGAATATTCCATAAATCCCTTTCCAATAACAATCTTCAAACCCTTTTTCTTAGGCACACTCTCGTAATAAGTATGAGGACCCCGATGATAAACCAAATCCAGTACATCAAACCTACAACTTCTACTACAATGGAAGTCCTGTTGAATCTTACACTGTACCAGGAGATGGCCAAATTCCCAGAGTTCCTGTAGATGGTCAAAATCCCAGCGTTCTAGTAGATGCCCAAAATCCCAATGCACCCAGCTTACCAATGACTGTTCCACTTTTTAAATATCGACTCCTTTTAGATGCTCTAGAAGCAACGATGCGTGAACTTCGCATTCTACAGAATAGAACGGTAACAGAAACCATACGGATTGAAAAGTGAAAATAGAGTGAAAACAGAACGTTAACAGAAACCATACGGATTTAAAAGTGATAACAGAGTGACAGACTGTACTTACATAAAAGCTTCATATGCATAAACATTTTTGATTTTTACTTGAGCTGGTAGCTCAAGTTGGATTTTTTTTTATCATCAGTCGTCCATCTGTTCGTCTGCCTGTGGTTTGTCTGTAACTTTTTGCAAAGTTTTTGCAAATTGTTTGGGGTTAGATGGTTTCTAAACTGTTTAAATGACGTACCAAACTTCCCTTTAAATGGGTGATAATTGATGAAGGATGCAAAAACGTGTAAAAAGGGGAAGATTAAATCAGTTTGCATTGGATCGTGTGAAGATTTCATTAAAAAAATCTACACACTTTACACGGACGTGTACATAGTTTCAACTGAATTTTTAAAAAAAAATCATGCAAATTTAATGTTTACAATTCCTAACGAAGGCAATTCTAATGATCAGAAAAAATTTGAACATCATTTTTGTTTTACAAAGGAGATACAAAACTGAACAATTTCTAAATCTGTCTTGTATCTCGATAACTGAAATTCATCACCTTGAAGCATTCTTTGCACTTTGTTTCTTGTGTGTACCGTACTTTCAATGCAATCTGCATCGATATCTATCATGTAGCTTCCATTTTTTAGTAAAGTTACAGTCAATTGCCTTCCACTGTCTTCATTCTTTATTTTTTCACAGTATTTTTCAAATTTTTGATGATCATTAGAAATATCTTAGTTATATATTTGTAAACATGAAAAAAAAGTAAAATAAATTTGAAATTTTTAAGCTGAAACTAGGAGCATTTTCCCTTAAATGAATGAATTTTCATATGCGATATATTAGTAGTTAATGTATTAAATCAGTGGGGGTGTGGGTAACCAGTCAAAGCCAATGAATAAAATTTTTCATCGAGTCAAATGCCGACTGATGTTTTTCATACTAATTATTTGTTCATTATTTATACACTGAATTAACGACGGATTTTCCCGTTGTTTCCCGATAATGACAGGGACCACACGGCAGGTGTGACCGGTCAACAGGGAATGCTCACTCCTCCATGGCACCTGATCCCAACTCTGATGTTTTGGAGGTCCGTGTTTGCTCTGCTTCTATTTTGTATTGTTTTATCGACCTTGATATTGAATACTCTTCGTTATCTCCATATCCTTCATTTATTTGTTATGGTATACATGTATTAATGTTCTGGTTTTCTTTAGTAATCTTACCATAAAATGGAGAATCCATATATATTTAACATGAAATGAAAAGCAAATGTAGTCTAATAACTGTTATTTGTTTAATAACAAAAGTTTGGAGCTCTTAAATATGTCATGTATCTCGACAATTGAAATTCAAATTTTTGATGATTATTTGAAATTCAAATTTTTCATTTATATTTGACATGAAATGAAAAGAAAATGTAGTCTAATGACTGTTATTCGTTTAATGAAATAATATTTTTGACCTAAGTTTTGCTCAAGTTTAGTAATTGTAATAGTGTTTATCATAAATATATACTACCGGTAGAGTTTTATTCAATTAACTGTGGGTTGGTGGGTGATAGTGGGGCATTTTTAAATTCTAAAAAGAAAAGCAACTTTACTAGAAATGTTTTCACGTCTTGTTTGAATTGTGGACTAATATGAATCAAAATTTTTTTTGTGATCGAAAAACAACGACATCAACAAAAAACCCACCTTTACAAGAAGAAGCAAATAGAACAAAAACAAAAAAAAAATCCATTTTACTTTGGCATGATTATTTTAAAAATGTATATTTTTTCATGTTCGTATCTTCATCAGCTGGTACCCATTTCAGTTTGGAACATCAACAATAGAAACAGGAAATTAAATCAGAATTTCTGCGAATTCGATTTTCTTTTGGAAATGTCTAATAATAGCACGCCAGTTTCACAAAAATGAGCGTTTCACAATAAACTAGGTTTATATTTTTTACAAACCGTGAACTATAGTTAAGGTAGGATTCTTCTCATATTTCTAATGTTTAAAAATTAATGAAATTTTCACAGAATAAGAAGACAATATCAGTAAGTGATAGTATCAGTGAAATTAAATTTGACCGTTTTATATTAGAGGCAAGGTCAGGTCAAGGTCATTTCTTTTTCCTTGACATTAAGAATAAAAAATAACTGTTGCCAACTGTGATACCTACTTCTATTTCAAAAGTTTAATGATTGTTCTTTTTGCATAAAAACATATTACTATATCGGAACTATAGCATGATATTACCAAATTTACATAAATAATTTAAGTTAACTGGATATTGGCTAATCCGAATTTTCTCTGTTTTTCTTAAATATATTAGTTATTTTCATAATTAATATTTAACTTTTTCTTATTTTCACATATAATAAAGTTGTCTTATAAATGTACAAAATGATACAAAAACAAAAAGTTTTGATCGTTTACTGAGAGAAAAAAATACTTTTTATGGATTTTTGGCTCATATCTGCACCGTAATAGGAAGCGTTTAAAAGCGAATAAGGTTCTAGTTTGTTTGAAAAATCATATTTATTTGATATATTTTGAAAGTTTAGTCCCTCATTATTAATCTAACTAACATTTGAAAATTTCTCCAAGTCTTCGATTGTGTAAAAATTATAACTAAATTCGTTGTTCTATTATAATTTTCAGAGGCAGAAAAGAAGATATTTTCATACGCCACCACTCCGTCAAAAATATAGTCCCTGCTAGTTTTCAAACGCAGTTTACCATTTCTATTTAAAGTTGTACAATTGTGATGAGGAAAGAAAAATATGGTCTTTTAAATTATTTACACCTCAATATATAAGACATATAAGCAAATATACTGTAAATCACTTTTTATTCGCGAGAACTCTATTTTCGCGTAATTATGCGAGACAATGCATTCGCGAAAATTAAATTCTCGCGTATAAAATATTCCTTACTATTATATAGAGGAATAACAACTATTCGTGAAAATTATGTCTCGCTTACAAAGAGTCCATGACAATCTCGCGAAAATAAGGTGTCGCGAAAATTTAGTGATCTACAGTACTTTGAATGTTTCATCTAGTCAGAAACCAGAGACGAATCCTACCTTAACAATCCGTTAACTATAGTTTTCATCTGTAAAACTATTAACGGTTGTTAACTATACTTTACGAATGTTAATCTAATTTCATCTGTCTGTAATAAAACGTTAACAATAGAATTTGTTGGTAAACATAGATTCACGTCTGTAAATTATATTTAAATAGTATAATTAGTATCACAAATCGTGAAATTATATTTATCAGATTGTTAACTATAGTTGAGTTGTAATCAAATTCACAATAATCTATGTTTTGCAATCGCAAATGATTGTTTTCAGTGTTAATTATATATAGTTTACGGTTCTGAAACATAGATTATCGCGTTAACTATGGTTTACAGATGTACAAAATAGTTTACAGTCCGTAAACAATGGTTTACAACCGTTAAACATAGCTTATCGACTGTGAAACTAATTTAGCTCATTTTGTGAATATGGCGTGCCAGATCTATTTATTATTTCATGTCAAAGCAATGATTATCCTTTTTTTGGTCATTACATGTATGTTTTTGCAGTAATGCAGTAATTAGAAATTCCTAATCTGCCTATAATGTTAAATCTGATATACTTACTTTTCCTTAAAAAAGGACAAATTTGCTAGTAGTTTAAGTATTCTTAAGAAATAAGATGTTCAATATATACTCGTAGGCACTTTAAATTTTTATAAAGTGTGAAAGCTGTGTACACAATGTGTAGACTTCAACTTGAAATATATTGGATTTACAAGATTGGACCACTTTCTTGTTAACATGAATAAAATATCACTTATTTCTAAAAAAAAATATTTATTAATAATTGTTCGCAACATTCATTGCTTCCATACTTTATTAAACTTTACGGTAAATAATAAATGATCAATCTTTATCAGGACATAAAAAAGAACATCATATACATGTATAAAGATTGCAAATAAGTGATTCCGCATAAATACAGAAGATGCATCCAAAGCAAAAACCACAGAAGTTCGCCTAGCTAACTATCATTTTACCGACATTTTCATTGAATTTTAAAAAATATGTCTTCTTTACTACGTATACCTTTACGTTTTTATAATATGCGGAAATTTTCGGTAAAATTAATAGGTTTGCGAACTCCTGTGCAAAAACAAAGAAACAAATATCTATATATATATGTCAGATTTCTTTATTTGTTTATCATTAATTTCTATATCATATATTTTATATACCTAGTACATTTATCGCATTGCGGCAAGATGAGGCATTACTATTCAGTATATTATCTTCTAGTATGGTGCATTTAATGTAACCATTATACTCAAGGCGTAACTTTCGTTGCGTCATCTTGATTAATCACTTCCATCGCGTCACCCAGGGCCCTTCCATCGTCCACCCCAGAGAATATCGCTTCATGATTTTCTCCACTAGGTGACGCTGCTTGACGCTATTCAGAATCATGACTTTCATTTCGTTGCTGATCGACTTACATTCAGTTATCTAGAATATATATTTTAAAGGTATAACAATATATTCAAGTACATGTATGTATGATTATAGCATTCGTACACTGCAACTAAAATGTCACAAAAATATGTATCATTTAACTTCAAACCTTCAATTATTTTTGTCTTTTCCGTGACTTTGAAAAAGCTTTACTATGTATTCAAAATTATTTGAAATTTATTTATTTAATTTTTGTTGCTTTGGATTTTGATTTACCTGATTCGGGTATCGTTTTCTCAGCTCCACTCTTTCCTGTTGTCGCTTTCGCATCAACTTCCGGTAGTAATCCGGTCCTTCTAGAACGTATTTAGGAACATCTGACCTATGAACTATAGGCTCTACCACTCCTTCGTTCGGACTGTACTCCTGGTATTCATATCCACTAATGTTCAGGCACTCAGACAATGGCATTCTGTGAATGGTTGCGGACTCCTCGTGTTTTTCCGAGTCTTTTTCCTTGAAAATTCGAACGAATCTCAACTGCAATAGCAGGAGCGGAAGAATATCGATTTTCTTTCCTGGAATGGATGATACTCGAGCTGCAAGCTTGGCTTCTGCGCGGGTTTTGAGTAAAGTCAGGACATTAGCGTGTCGTTTAGTGATAAGACGATCAATTTGATTTGTACTTATTGAGTAAATCTCGCACTCAGTCGAACAGAAAACGCGAAATAAGGACTTTGGAAGGTTCAGTATGATCTCGAGATCGTGGATTATGTCCCCTCCTTCAATGTGGCACAGCTCTACTTTACGACTTGCAACGAAGCGTTCTGCGGCTGCGTAACCGTCTGTTCTTTTGATGGACGCTAGTTCCGCCATGTGTTTATTTTGGTTCCTTTGAATGCTGGGTAGATTTGAATTCTTTGCCACTTGGTGTCTACATAAAGAAAAGGGCTATATTTCAAACATATTTTAAGCAATTTATATCTTAAATTAAATGCTAGCATACATTGACTCATTTTCTTTTTTTTTTAAATGTAATTAAAGGTCAGACGACACCTTCCTCAAATAAATCTTTTGTATCCCTTGGTATTTATAAAAAAGTATGCGTATTTGTCATTCTCTTGTGATTTCTAAATTGTTTTCAATGTGTTTTTAAATAAAAGTATCTGTGATATAGGCCATAGATATTATAAGAAATATCATCCTGTGGTATCTTTTCCAGGAGAAATTTTTTGTGAGGAAACTAAATATCTATACATGTACGTTCTTAAAAATTATAATTTACAAAAGATTCTAATTATTGACTATTTTTTTTACTCGAAATCAATTGGATGTTTCTTGCTCATCTCTGCCGCATGGAAAAGTTCCGGGTATTGCTTTTTATGTAAGTCTGGAATGACGGATAATCGAGCTTTTCCTCTGTAAGATATAAAACAAAAAGAAACATTTCTAGAATAATAATTTATAGTCATCATTTCGTAAGTTCTTTGGTCGATACAATGACCTTGTCAGCAAATACAATTTATCATTGAGTCAAATGCTGACTGACGTTTTTCATACTAATTGTTAGTCCATCATTTACACTCTGAATTGACGACGAATTTTTCCGTTATCTCCCGATTATGACAAAGAGCACAAGGCGGATGTGACCCGTCAGCAGGGAATGCTCCCTCCTCCACGGCACCTGATCCCACCTCTAATGTTTCGGAGGTCTGTGTTTGCTCTGCTCATATTTCATATTGTACATGTATATTGAACTATTGAGCTTGAATACTGTTCGTTATCTCCATATATTGCACTGCACAAACAAATGGATATCCTAGAATTGAAAATTTACAAACAATCTTTAAAGAATTAAAAATAATAAAAATTTCACATACGTGACGAGAAAATGAAGACCTTTGACCTCAGATCCTTGTCGGAAGGCACATTGGCCTGGGTAAACAATCCGCCTTTTCAGAGCAGCCACTAAATGCTCCTGGTGGACGTGCGACCATTTTGCAAAGAACGGATGGGTCCTTACAAACAGTCTCTTGGCATCTAACTCTTTGGATTGATGTGCCTGGGAATTTTTAACATCTTTGCTATATTTTGTGTTTAACATATACATTTTCTAATTTTGTATCGATGGATGCAGTGAATATTTAGTTTTTTACTGACTTAAAGATGCAAACTATAACAACTAAACTGTATATGTAACTATGACAAACGAGCTTTTACAACCTTAACTATCCTATGAAACTTCCACGTATAATGTAGTAATGTTCCACTATCACCTGCTTGTGGTGATCTTGTCTCCCAATTTATTAGCTACTCAACAGCTTGTTCTGAGTACGATCAAGTTTTTAAAAGAGGCCAGATCACATAGTAGTTAGACATTTATCTTTTTCCATTCATTTTACCACTATTATATGTACGTATATCTTTACGGAGGCTGGGGGGTCAACAAATTAACCAAAAATTAACCACCATATTTAACTTATTTTTTTTTAGATACGGTATCTTAAGCTGTCAACTATCATTTGGCAAAGAAAAAATTCACACATTTTAGTTTTAAAATTTGATAATTTTCGTATATCTTTATATGGAGTTCTTCTTTTAAATGAGATCAAAATAGTCTGAAAATGGCTGCCCACCTCCCAGCCTCTTTAATTAAATATAATTAACAAACAAAAACAAAGCAACCTAAAATATCAAATTTAAAGAATAAGAATAATCAGGAAAAAAATTGTAATTTACCGAAATAGTTGTTTCAAAGAGCTCCCTGTCAATGACCAGAAGATCTACCGCCTCCTCTGCGATGATGGTAGCGTTCCGTACAATGTTCCCCAGCAGGGCTAACTCACCAAACGAGTGTCCTGGTACTGTGAAGGTATTGAAACAGTTTTCAACAAGATGTGTTTTTGAAACACTATGCGTCCGGCGGCAACAAAATTCGATGAAGCTATTTTTAACATATAGGTAACAGTCAAGGTCACAAGGTCATTGACCTTGGTGTCATTTGAAAGTACTTAATTAGTAAAGTATGCACACCAAATAAGAAGTCTCAATCTTTCATGGTATAAAAGTTATGATGAAGGTTCAAAAAAGCTATATTTAGCATATAGGTAACAGTCAAGGTCACAGGGTCATTGAACTTTGTGTCTTTTGAAAGAGTTTCATTAGTAGAGTTTGCATATCAAAAATGAAGTCTCTATCTTTCATGGTTCAAAAGTTATGGGGAAGGTTAAAGTTTTCAGACAAAAAGATATTTTTAGCATGTAGGTCACACTCAAGGTCAGAAGGTCATTGACCTTGGTGTCATTAACTAATGGAGTAAGCATATCAAATATGAAGTTTCTATCTTTCATGATTCAAAAGTTATGGCGAAGGTTAAAGTTTGCGGACAAACAAACAAACAGACAGTCAGACAGGACAAAAACAATATACGCCTGCGATCTATCGATCCGGGCGCATAATTAGTATTCCAACACACCATGGGCGTTGGAAGCAAATTGAAAGTGGGGAGAGGATAATCGAAAAGGGGGGGGGGGGGGCTAAACCAACAAAATAAGGTAAATCCCAATTTTCAATGCCTATATAATGTCTATTTTTGCCAAAAAGGTGTGTGTGTGTGGGGGGGGGGGGCTAAGCCCCCTATCCCCCCGGTTCCGACGCCTATGCACACGAAGCATTTTGGCACAGTGATATGGCAGTGGCGTAGCGCCCTTTACGCAAAATCGCAAATGAATACACAGATTTTTCACAAAAAAAAAATAATAATAACAAGAAATAATGATAAAAAAGAAAGAAAAACATGCATAAAGTTTAAAATAGGTTATATTAAAAAAAACGTGTTTACCTCTACGTACTAGATATATTAAAATACCGGTAATATATTAAGCTTCTATCTTTGATACAGAGTACATACCGTTTTAAAAAATCATTTTAGAATTTCAAGGGCGAATTGTTAAGTTGTGTCAATTCAAAGTAAATGCAAGTAAGCCAAATAATTTAATCTGTTTTATTTTCGTATTCCCCTTATAATTAACTGCAAACTTGTACTATTATTTCAAACCAATCAAATTTTTAACATGTAACAAATGGAGAATATTTTTTGGTGTGTGGATAAAGCGGTCAGATAAATTCATATATAATTCATAAAATATGATTAATACACACAAAATAAATTTTATAGCATGCTATGTAGAACATTGAATTTTCATAAATGTTTTCCTGCCTTTCACTCTTTCGTCAAAAATTCAAAACAGTTTTGCGATTGTAATTAATTTATTTTGAAAATAACTGATTTTTAAAATAAACAGTGTGTCTATTATATCAAACAACTTCAAGATCCAGTTACTTTGCATTCTGACACTTTCACACTGCATGCATTACTGTTATCAGATATCCTGTCACAAATTCAAGGTTTGTGATTTCTTATTGTTTGTTGAAAATGTTTTGTCTTATTTCAGGATAACATGAAATGCTTTTAAAAAAGAATTTTGGAGTTGTAAGTGTATCGTCAAAACTCGGCAATTTTTTTGTAAATTTTTGGTAAAACTATGATTGTAAAAATTAAACATTTTAAGGTAATTTTCTGATGTATAAAACCCTAAAAATCCATGATGTTATGCCCTGGACCCGCTGGGGGCCTAAGACCCCTTGCCTTTTTGAAACAGGACTTACAGGTAAGACGTGTACATGTTTATGTTGTGATATAATTTTTTTTATTTCCCAAGGGATTACGGCATATACATGTACATGTATTATACATATTATATTGATAATCATTCCTAAAATGATCACACACATTGATGTTGGCTACATACGAAAAAATAGATTTAATTTATTTATCTGATTTTTAATAATCTATTATATCAAACAACTTCAAGTCCAGTTAGAAGACACTATACTAGTACGTTAGTCAGATCTGTCAATAATTGTCTTAGTTTGTTGGTTAATCAAAAAGTAACAATGAATATAATTGTAGTAACTGTTCTTATACTTTTTTATTCTGTATTGTTTTATGTAACCAGGACTTTGATGTACATGAATTGTGATATGATTTATTTGGGATGCTTACTCCTCCATGGCACCTAATCCCACCTTTGATATTTCGGAGGTCCGTGTTTGCTCTGCTCCTATTCTGTATTGTTTTATGGACTTTGATACTGTTCGTTATCTCCATATCCATATGTATAATTTGATAGGAGCTTAAATAAGACACGTATAATTTAATTGAAGCTTTATAAGAAGTGTATTGTGATAATTCAGTTGAGCTTAAATAAGACGTGTATATTGTGATATTTTATGGAGCTTACATAAGACGTTGACTTTGGGTCCATACAATTCTTCCATTGGATCCGCCCGGTCGTTGTTCTCGTCTTTCGCGTGACTTCGGCTATGACAGCTATGAGGATCCTTTTTGAGAATATCAGTGCTGGCTGTACTATGTATGCTGGGTAATTCTACTACAATAGATTTCCTTTTCCTCCCTTTCAAGTTCTTTTCTTTGACATATACACTAACGGAACCTTTTATTACAACGTAGAACCTGAAGTATGATAATTATTTATAAAGTATAAATATCTTATATAATAATTTAATTTCACGATGACAGTAATTATAAGTAACTGTTTTCTGATGCATTTATCAGTTTGCATTGACTGTAGGAAGCGGGGACACTGGGGCGTGCCTCCTCAATAATTTTGCCAATATATAGTACTGTATACTATAGAAAACATAGCAACTACATACTCGCGCCCCTTCAATGAAAACGTATGATGATTTTTTTTTTTTTTTTGCTTGTCAAGGAATTTTGTGGCTGATAGTTGCCCCAACTGAAAAGATATGCCCCCCCCCACTCCCAACTGAAATTGCTTCTTCTACGTGACTGCTTTGTATATTCATTTCAGAAGACTTGTTTCCACCCTCGCCACTGCATTTTCACCTCGTTTTGGGAAAAACCAGCAGTGGAAGGGTTTAAGGAGAAACCTACCATTTAGGTCCGTGTAACACTTAACAATTCAAATTTCTAAAATGATTTGGAGTTTTGGAATGTTAATATATTAGTTCAAATTTCTAACTTTCAAAAAGTCAAACTGATTTGGTACATTGAAATTCAATGTTTTAGTTCAAAAATCTAAAATTTCAAATTTCCAAACAGGTTTTAGAATTTTAAGTTTTTAGATTTTTACCTTAAATATTCAAAATTCAAATATCCAAAAAAAGTTTTTTTGGTATTTTAAACTTTTGAGGTTTTAATCTACCGTTTCTTTCGAAAGTTTACGCTTAACAATCTAAAATTCGATAACATTTCGTCTTTTGATTATTTAAGATTTACTTCAAATTTCCAACTTTCAAACGTTTTAGATTTTTAGAAATTTAGAATTTTGTTTCAAAAACTCAACTTTTAAATAACCAAAACAGATTTGTAAATTTGAGTTTTAAGAAGTTTAATTACTTCAAATATCCAAAATATCAAATTCCATACCTGGTTTAAATTTTGGATATTTAAAGTAAAGTTCTAAAAACTCAAAGTGTTAAGGTTATTTGAAATAAGAACATTTGAATCAAAATTCCAAATTTCTAAAATCTTAAACGTTTCAAAGTTGGATTTTAGAAGTTTGAAGCTAATTTCAAGTAATCAAAAGACGAAAGATATTACCAAAGTTTAGATTGTTAAGTCTAAACTCTCTAATAACAAACGGTAAACTAAAAACTCAAAAGTTTAAATTCCAAAAATCGTTTTCGGAAATTTGAATTTTGAACATTTAATGTAAAAAATCTAAAATATTAAAATTCTAAAACCTGTTTGGAAATTTGAAATTTTAGATTTTTAAACTAAAATATTAAATTTCAATATGCGAAATCAGTTTGAGTTTTTGAAATTTCGAAATTTGAACTAATATATGAACATTCTAAAACTCAAAATCATTTTTAGAAATTTGAATTGTTAAGTGTTACACGGACCCATTTAGAATCCCTTAAATGTAATCCATGATATCACTCACTTGCTTCCCTCTTCTCCCTGGGTAACGATAACAGTTCCTTTGTTAACGTGTAAATGTTCACTGTATTTCAGAATCTCTGCTGCTACGTCTGAATATAAAATTAAGTAAAATAAATAAATATTAAGTTTAAATAAATACATCTAAACTTATGGAATGATACTTATTAAATAATCTACAACATATAATAGTGAGAGGAAAAATATTTTGATGAGCTATAACATTGTTAAATTGTTACTGAATAAAAACAGTCTGAAAAAAAAATATCGTATTAAATAAAGGAATAAAATATTTATTAAAAAAAAAAATCAAATTCACAAAGAAGTAATGTATACAAAATGCTACAGCAATAGATACATACACATGTAATTAGATTCTTGGCGAAATTATTAAAAATTTTATTAATTAGATAGAATAATTTTTCATTTATTAAAATAAAAAGAAATCCAAACCTCTTTCCACATCTCGCAAACAGTCTGTTTTCATCATAAAAGCAGGTAGGAAAAAATCGATTTCCCTCCGCGTGCGCCTCTCTGGGTGTTTATGGATCAGATGTAACAAAGAAGAACTTGTTACGTTATCCATAATTCTTATTGCTTGAACTTTTTTGACAGTTTTCTTAAAAACATTTTTCGCCGCCATGTCTCTTGAGTAACTATGACTTATTGTGACGTCATAATATATGATTTTGGTCAAATGGGGGTCAATCTGTTACATGTATATGTAACCCACCTTTCGAAAGAGAGGAGAAATACTGTATTACTAATAACTAGTATAGTCATTGACGGATCCAGAAATCGTTACAAGCTGGTCGAATTTAAACATTTGGAGTCGGAGTAAGGGCCATCTACCACACCAAAAATATATTATATTTGGACACAAAAGGGGTCATGTCCCTTGGGCAGCGCCTGGGCTCCCCTCTAGTCTAAATCCGCCATTGTGCTAGTATCAGGCACGTAGCAAGAGGAGGGAGGGCAGGGGGTTTGTCCCCTTTTCCAGACATAACTTTTTTACTATTGAAATTTTCATTGAAGGCCTGCCCCCCCCCCCCCCCCCCCCCACTTTTTGTGAGAGCAAGGGTCAAATAAGGTTAACGTTGTATATACTAAGAAGACACTTATAAAATGTTAACCCCCCCCCCCCCCCCCGAAATAGGATTTTCGAGTTTGGACATTTTTTTGCTTGTCGAGTTTTTTTTTTTTTTTTTTTCAGGTAAAAGTTGATTTTTTTTTCTCTAGTTGCCCCAACCCCTCTTTCAAAAAGGATATGCTACGTCACTGAGTATTCAATCAAAATGACAAATGCACCCTGAACATTATGAAGAATCAATTATTTTTACCAGGGACCTATATACTAGTATATAGGTCCCCGTTTTACTGAAAAAAGACTGATTGTGCATTACATATATATCATGGGATTAACACCGGCTAACCAACCCTATTGAATTCGGAAAAATTATATCCGCACTGGTGGGTTCTGTTTGAACTTTGACTTCCGCTGATGTGGTAGGAACGGTAACTAGCCTGGTAGATCTACCGTCGCATATTTCCACAGTATTTTCATTCAGTTTATTTAATTTCGAGGAAAAGGTATGTGCAGGTTTTGTAAGTAATTTTAATGGATCACGATGCACTGTTAAATTGAACATTTTGCTGTCTCTTTTCTAAGTAACATATGGTCTTTTGTAGGCTAATGCACGCAACCGCGTGTTTACACCAGCAGAATTTATGTGACATAATTTATTTGCTATTAAGAAATTCATGTTTTAGTTAGAGTGAAACAAGTACTGAAACAAAACATTTGGGAATTATAGGAAATTTGGAAGTGACAATCTATTAGGCTTGGTAAAATGATTCAAGAAAAAATATGTGCAAGGTAAGGTCAAGGTTATAGGACTCCTGTTCGTTTCCCATAGAAGATTATAAGACTATATTTCCCATAGAAATGTTTATAGAAAGGTTTGTCGTAGAAATGAAAATGGATATAGTGTTGAATTTACGTCCAAGACTGCTGCAGGGATATATGTTCGCCATACAGATCACATTTTTTCTCCATTGTGTGTGTTTTTTGCTTTTATTTAGCTTCTGAATTTTGCAAAAGGTCCAGTCCAAAGACTACTTGTTTTAAAATAGCTATGTGTACCTGTCCTGAGCTGCAGAACGGTAGTTCTCAGCTTGAAAAATTTGGACGGATAAAGCAGAGAGCTCCAGATCCAAGGATTGTAAAATCTTTCAATGTAGGCCCCCGCTTTTTTGTCGCTTGCTTCGCTATTATTTCTAAAGCTTTCCCATCGTCAAATGTACCAGTTCTGCAGCTAGGTCTACATAAGTATTTAAATATACTTCTACTTTATTGTCTATTTCTGGACAAATTTATTATACACATGTACAGTATTTGCATAAAAATAACTTAGTTCAGCAGCTGTGTCAGTGTTGTTTTTTTTTTTAAAATGAATTATCCGAATTCAAGCATCACAGACATCTTTTATATGATAAAAGGATATCCAATTATTTATGACTAATGAGTGGAAATGATTTTTATCTGCAGATATTTGTCTCATGTCCCTATCACTGCCTTTAGACATAGTTCTAGCCTTTGGCAAAGAAAAAGATGCATTGAACTTATTTGATAAATATTATATTTATTATCACAATCCATGGGGGGGGGAGGGTCATATGTGATAAATTTCATTTAATTTTGTTAAAATTTTCTTGTACATTTTTAATATTAATAAGAATTAGTTCCTCGTAAATAATGCTCACCATGGAGTGCACTTGTATCTACTTTACAGGCAGAACTTTATTTAAAAATCATGACTAAAAATAAAACTTGATGAGATAATTTATTGTAAATGATTATGGATAGATTAAGAAGAAAAAAGGGATTATATATTTTATGCATTGAAGATTAATGAAGAATATAAGTATTTAATGTAAAAGTTTACTTTTGATGTGTTTTAATTTTGCACATTGTATACATAGATTTTGTGTTCACTATTACATTATTTTTGACAACATATACTCAATTTTCAATGAAATATTGTAGCTCAAAAGTTTTTAGACAGGCATTCCTTTCAAATGGACTTTTTTCCTCTTTGTACAGTGTTGGTAACATTGATCTTAGTTATATCATGGTTACATGTATAAGTATTAATATGTATTGAATTTGATTTGATGCCCGTGTTTCACAGTTTCTGTCAGAAGTCTTGTTGATTGAGGTTCACTAGCATTCATATTTCTTCTCCCCAGTCTTCACGAAAACTCACTGGTCCGAAGACCGAGGCCAGTGAATTTTGAGGTCGGGTCAGTGAAAATCAAAATTCAAGAAGTCCGATGGGCTCGTTGATCATAAAAATCATACAGTCAAAATTTATTTCAACTGACTTACTTGTGTAAATTTCATTAATGTATAAAATAAAACGAAGAAGCTCGTGTTGTTGAATCCTATTATTATAACCATGATAACCCTATTATAACATGGATGTATTACGTAACAACCGGAAGTAGCTAGTAATTATTAACTAGTACGTAAAATGTGCAACTTAGTTCCAACGAACAACTTACCGAAATGCGACAAAGGGCGAAAAATGGCGGCATTTCAAAAGTTGAAGTACGTAAACATGTATAAATTTACAGTTATGAAAATGTATTTATTTTCTTTTTTTATGAAAGGGACCAGTAAAAATTTTGGTGGGCTAGTATATTTTGATTCACTTCCACTGGCCAGTTAGTTTGAAAAGTTTTCGTGAAGACTGCTTCTCCCCCTTCCATGACATCAGTTGATTTACACACGGGCAAAATTTCCATCATATCTGTTTAAATATTTTCCAGGTTGCAGCTCTTGATTGGTTACACTGGGACACAAACTGACAAAGAAAGCAGACGAAGAATTGACCTTTATGTGAGATTGTCTTTGTTAAAAAGTAATTAGAATATTGACAACAAGAAAAGGGCTTCATGCAAAAATTTGGACACTTTACATGATTCAGGTTAAAACAATCATTAAGAAAAAATATACATGTAGTAGAAAAGGAAGAATGTATGAAATGAAAATTAATGGCTGGACCAGAAATTAAATCTGGGACATCTGTATCGCTAGTGGGGAGGGGATGGTTTACTATTGAGATATCCAGGTTTCTATCCATTGCCCATATACGCGTAGCCAAAATTTGAACAGAAACATTCAATATTGTATCTCCCCTGTGAATTTTTCAGCTTTACAATGTATACGAAGAGAATTTCATATACTATAATGAGCAGTTTTCAGAAAGTTTTTTTTCAATTACTAATAATACTTGGAAATTATTACAGGAAATATAAACATAATAGTTGTACTACATAAGTAGTTGTCTAAAGTTTATGTAGGTATATTAGGTTGATTTGATAGGGTCATGGAATAAATGAATTCTAAGCCCACCTGTCTCATATCCCCTACCTCTCCCCTTTATTATATGCTCAGTAAACAGCCCATTTAAAATGTAACTCTTTTGATTCAATGAACACAGTCCTGGTTTAAGGTTTTATCAATCCCTTATTGAGTCTATTAAAGTGTAGTGGGATGTACATAATATGTGATCCAGATAAGGACATGGTTGAACTTAGTGTGCAGAAAGCCCACTAGCTTCAGACTTAAAAAAATCATATTCAAATTGTGAATTTAGTATTTAGAGTAAAGTTCTTATCATTGTTTTTTTATGAAATAATGATAAACAAAATGTTTTGAGGAAATTTTTTTATTCAAATTTATTCTTTTATTAACAAAAATAATGTGGTATCCACTGGGTTCGAACCCTGGCAATAAAAATCCTGAGTTGCATTCTTTATTGAGACTAGCACACTAACCATTACACTACACAAGTCCTGATGAAGTGTGGCATTTAAATCATGTTTGTGATATGACCATTGACTTAAGGGACTTCAAGTATTTCTTGAAAAGATACGCAAGTTATGTCATAAAATTATATTTTTAAGGTATAGTGGGTCTTTGCTCCATAATTTTGGAAACCAACATATGTATGTTTGTATGCAAACTTTGAGGATTAACTCTCAAAAAAAATGGAGAGAAGACCCACTCATATCGAAAAATAGTGTTATAGTGTGAAAAAATGACTGGTTTTGTCCTCTTTCATGTGTGTACAGTATTTCATAAGCAAATAACTTCAACCTTCATGAAATTTGTGCAAGTTGTAGAGATTTTACATAAAGTATACTTTAATGTTAGATGAAATATTAAGGAAAATTTGATATAATTGAGATTTAATTTTTCACCTTAATGTTTGTTGCGCTATGGGCTTATCTCACGTCATATTCACCCATGTCCTTTAAGAAAACATTAATGTCAAATGATTTGGGCAGCTAGATTGCATGTAAAAATGCATTTTTACTATTACAAATTGATATGTAAAATTGTGTTTTAATTTTCAATTTTGTAAAATAAGAGTGTCAAGAGCACTCTAGATGCAATTTAATGACCCTTTATATAGTGATTGAAATATGAAAAATTATTTCTGGAATGAACCTGACTAAATTTCAATAATATGTACATTTAAATTTTAAAAAATCAGCTTTAAATTATTAAAACTTTAACTATTTTTATTGGATGCATTTGCTTTAATTGCTAAAAATATCTGAGGTAATGGAAGATGGGATGCAGAGAAAAAAAAATTCAAATCTGCTCATGTTAATTTTATCATTATCAGTGATTATTGATAAACATATATCTTGAAAACAAAAACATGCAGTTGTTTTAATTTTTTAGGATCAAGGAGCATCAACTACAAGACCCCCAAGAAGTTTGAAAGAGAAAAATTTAAAGACACAGAAGAAAACAGAAGAAAGAAGACAAGAAAAGTGAGAAGAATTCTGTAAATATTTATGTTTTGGTAAAATATAAAATATTCTGACATTTGTGTACAAAAAAGGTTTGTCGAAGCATTTATTGGTGATATTTGGCCAGGACGGCTAATGAACTATTAAAGGGATATGCATCAGTTGCATTGAGGTGGAAAACTAAAATCGAAAGTGCTACTGTTAAGTTCAGCCATTAAGGATCCTGTTCTACTACAACATTAAAAGACTTGTCTATATAACCGGTGCAAATTTTAATTGTGTTTTGTTTATAATTTTAACAACATAGAAACATATGCTGATTCCTAGTTTTTCTATGGTTAGATTTACTTAAGCCTTTTGTTTTCAGTTCTTATCTGAAAGCATGTGGTATGATAAAAAATGGAATTTTAACCCTGCTTTTCCATTCAAAAATTACAAAAATATTATTTATTTTTCTTTTGCCTTCTTGATTACAAGCATTTAATGTTTACCTTTTGGAGTTATCTTTCTTCTGTTAAAGGAGATACTTTAAAAATGGGGTTGTGTAGCATTAATTTGACCTCGATTGACAACCGATGCATATGCCTGTAATCTGTTGTATTGCAGAAAATCAATGATTATTGAAAAGTTACATAATAAAACTTTTCCTATCATCAAAATTTGTATTGGTATATGGGATTGACACTCCAGTGTTGAAGGAGTCTTAACTAGAATTCAGTGACCAAAAATTATATGATTCTAAACGGAACAAGGTATATTAAATCCATTAACTTCCCTAAAAGTAAAATAATTATATTCATCATTAGTGTAGATCCATTTGTCATAAGTACCAGATGCTGTTTTATTTTGAGATCCACTAGTCAAAAGAATTAATTTTCAAAGCATATTAGGCCATCTTTAAAAATAATATTTGCTGCCCTCTCCTGACTCGGTTTACATTATTGGGTCAGTAGGTAGGTGGGAAAATTTCTTCTTTACAAAATTTTAACATATTTGTTGTCGAGATAAGATGTATAAAAAAAGAAAAAAAATACATGTATATTGTTTCTTGGGATATAAAAAAAAAGTTTTGAGTCAGGTCATTTTTAGTCAGTCGGTTGGGATTAGGCTACCAAACAATTTTTTAAGATGGCCTCAACTTGAATATATAAAAATGTCATGCGTTTAATTTAACAGTATTATTCCTTACAAATTTCAAGAACATTTTAGAACACGGTAAATTTGAATAGGATTTTTTAGCGTATTAAATAGTTATTTTTATAGTACATGTTAAACATTTAAACAAGTTAAGATAAAATTATAAGGGAAAAAAATATAAACTTTGAAGAATAAAGAAACAGTTATTTAATTTGTTGACAGAAAGAAGGATTCAATAGATATGAAATTTAAGAACATTAGATATCTCAGTTGCAAACACTGAAGTGATAGTTCAAAAAGGGAGATTGAAATGTTTACTAAAAATGTGAAATGAGAATATTTAAAATCCATGCCCCCTCTCCCACAACACATAAATATGGCATGAATTTATTTGTGAATTTTTAAGTAAAAGAAGATATGAAGGAATATTTAGAAAACATGCATGGAAGGATACCATTTCTACAGTAAAGTTGTTGAAGTGGAAATATAAAGATTGTCAAAACTTCACAATATGTGTAGCTGGTCAAAATTTTGAAACAAATGTTTATTCTTTACGACTTGGAACATAAGCCTGTCGAATGGAATTAAAATGTGTTTAAAGACTTGGTTCTCTCTATAGAAAAATAATTTGAGCATCAATAAAAATACTGATGCATTTTCTAAGCTATACTTTTAAAACCCTTAGTTAAAGGGCAGAAACGTAAATATGACAGTTGCTAGTCGGGATTCGATTGCAAGGAAAAAGAAACTGATACTGCACATAGAAGCACGTAATGTAAATACGTCTATTTGCATTAATTGGATGAAAATACTTGATCGTCAAGAAATTGAAAGAAACTATGAAAATGAAATTTTGAAAGGTAAATTTAAGAATATTATAATTGAGTTTAAAACCTTATATTAGCATGAAAAGTGCTAATGAAAAGGAAAGTTTTTTGGATTACTGTATTGCATTATACATGTATTTGGAATCAAATTTTGAATGGTTCTTTTCATAAGAATATGCGTCTGACTTTATATGTAAAAAGATGTATGTCGAAGACAATTTCAACAGATGATGAGATTAAAAATATATAGTAAATTAAATTTTAAAAACCCACAACTTGAAGAAAAAAATATCATTCAAAGAGCGGCATGGACAAACTGGTGTATTGTTAATGAAACATTTAATAATTACTCATTTAGTAGAGAGTTTTGTAAAACAAAATAATTTTTGGTATACAAAATTAATACCTTTTTTCACGGAAAAAAATATGTATCATTTAAAGTTAAATAAGAAGGATGCATATATCTTTTAAAGAACAAAAGATTAAGGCCTAAGGGAACAACGATTTTGTATAGAATCCGTTATCAAAACCGCGTTGGAGGTGATTTATTTACCATACTGGCTCAATTGTCTAGAGAAAAAAGAGGAAATTCTCTGCTTAAGGCTTCAAAGTAAACATTTTAAACGTATTCGATCATAATTTGTAGGCGCTTTTTTACATGTACCTTAAGACCAACACCGTTTGTTCATCTCTTGATTTAAAATTAAGACTTGGCAATATGCCAATGGTGCTAAAGATATTCAAGCCTCTCGACAAATAAAAAAAATGGAATAGCATTGTTAATGAGGTGCAGTATTGACGAGACAGTAATTCTTGACGTTAAAACAATTTCGCTTAGCACTAGTATTTTCCGGTGTTCCTTTATCAAGGATTGACCAAAAACAAAATGTGCTCTCTGCATTGACTGTATATTGTCTCGAAAATTACTTTTAATATAAGATATTTAATGGAGCTTTTCGATTTAGGAATTCCTTTATTCATTTAAACCCCCCATTGTAACAATCTACTGGGGGGAAAAGTTGATGATGCAAGCAAGGACATCAACAGTCTCGTACTACGACAAAATTTCGCAAATTGTTTGTTCGTTATAATGACCTTTACAGCAAATACAATGTAGTATCATGAAGTCGAATATTGACCGACGCTCGTCGTACAAATTGTTATTTTTCATGGCGGGGATGACCGGTTGACATGGGATGTCTATTCCTTCATGGCATTTGATCCCACCTCTTAGTGTTTGTAGAGGTCCGTGTTTACCTTGCTCCAAATGCATGGATATACAGCATTGTTCTAAATGACAACTGAGCTTATTTACTGTTCGATTTATTCTATTGTCTCAGTAAAGAAAGTATGCTTTGACATCTTGTTAAAAAAATGTGGAATTTTTATTTAAACTTCTGAATATCGTACTCTTGAATGAAAATTGGTAGTACTAAAACTTCTTTTTAACATCATTAAATTTTATTTGAATTAAATTCATGGAAAAAAATAACACTATATAAACTTGAACTGAAGTACACATCTTTCTAAACATTTTCTCTAACGGATTAATTCAACACCATGAGGGAATCCTTAATTGATTTCACAGAATCGTATTTCCCGAAAGCATTTCAAAAGTTACTATTTTTTTTCCAGTTAGGCTTTCATGTTGATTCATATTTTCATTCTATAACGTTTTCCTGTATCCAACGGTAATGTGGTGATATTCTGCTGTTGGAGATAATCTGTAAAGATCCCGGCCCTATGACATCTGGCATTGTCATCTTGAAAAATGAAACGGCGGACATAACGACGTGCAATTGCAGAGCATGGAGTGCCAAGGTGTTGTCCCGGTAGCACTACCCTGCGACCCGTTCAACAACAACAACATGCACGTCTGCTATGCCAGCAAAAGTGTTGCCTCCCCTTCACCATTGCAGACTCACATCCATACTAATCATGTCTTATGACGTTAACATCATGGAAACGTTCGTTACGTCGATGCCAAACCCTTCCACATCTGTCTTAGAAGTCCACAGTGAACTTAGACTCATTTGAGAACATTACGTGGTTCCATCGGCGATTATCCCATCGTTAATGGTGAACTGACGACACCAAAGGAGTCGGGCCTTAATATGACGATCCCTCAAACAGGAAATGTTACGAGATCGTCGGGCGTGTAAGTGAAATAAGTGCAGTCGATTCGTGATGGTCTGGCCACTCAAACCGGTATTCCTTTGAAGTAGGAATCCCATCTGATTTTTTGTACCAGACGATTTCTCAAGGCAATGGTGCGGATGAATTTGTCTTGAGCCTGATTTGTTGTCCTTGGTCGATTGGATCGTTATCTTACCTGAACAGACTCTGAAGTACGAAGTCTAGACCATAATCTGCTGATAACATACTGGGAAACGTTCATTGCCCTTGCCACAGAGAACTGTCTTGTGTCAACCTGTAGCATGCTAAGGGCACGTAACCTCTCACCCTGTGTTAGACGGCACATGGTCTCTGTTGAATTAACGACTTTAAAGACCCTTGATCATTAGTACCATCCCCTGCAGATCGTTAGAGTGTGATTGATGTTTTTGGGTGATGAATTTCTTTGGAAATGCTTCCTCGTCGAGGAACTTTTCAACATGGTTTCGTTTTCCCTTTATATATGCGAAAATTCCCATTACAAACTACAATATTCACCACTTTTTTTTTCTATGAGTCTATGACACCAAAAACAACCTAAGGAGGAAGCCAACGAAGACGACACAACAGCGAGGGTACTCTACCATAACGCGATCAGTAAAAGGAGGAAGGAATATATAAAAAAAAAAACATGAAGGTTATATGGACCTTGGATAGGGAAAGCTCAGTAGATAAAGCATCTGATTAGAAACGAAGGGGGTTCCGGGTTCGATAAACATTGCAGATATATATCTTCTTCATTGCTGTTTCATTTGGCGTCGTTGATCAACCTTGGATGAAAGTCCTGCTATCGGCTAAGAAACACCTTAAAGGCGACAGCGAACTAAGGGGAGATTTTGATCTCTTCCGTTGAGAAAATCTTTCTCATGGAAATTACAACTC